ATATATTATCAAATAATCATTATACATCAACCATGATAAGGAATGCTGCACGAAGATTTGACAATCTAACAACCAGTGCGCGCGCGCGGGTGTGTGTGTGTGTGTGTGTGTGTGTGTGTGTGTGTGTGTGTTTATTTTTAGTGTATATATTGAATATGTGTATAGATCGAGGCATCCTAATAATTCCACCAAATATTGCATATTTTTTTAGACCGAATAAAAAATTGTACAAAATTGTCCAAACTCTTACTTTCTAGAAATTCTACAATAATAATGCTGCTTTCAATATGTATGTTCTAAGGAATCTAAGGTTAGATCGCAACTTGAAATTCAAAAACTTTATCTTTATATATTTTCATATGTATAAAGATAAGGTTTTTGGATTTCAAATTGAAATGAAGATTAAATTATCAAAAAAAAAAGGAAAAACTAATCTCATGTAAATTTGACTTGTTAAATTTCGTTTTGAGATTGGATAATCAATATGCTAAGTATTATATCCGATTATTAATTTTAGTCAGACAAGTTAATTTTGTAAATTAAAATAAATTTTTTCTTCAAAAAAATACACGTTTCAAAATATTAAATTTCCAAAGTACAGTCGAACCTCTATAAAAGTAACTTGTCGGGACCGATTGACCTCCGTAAAAGTAAACAAATGCGCATGCGCTAGCATGTGCTTGATTATTATATGTGTTAAGACATGGCTTACAAAGGTTAAAACAAAAATGGAGATTAACAAAAACGGAGATTCTGTATATCTAATCTGTATATCTAATAATATATGAAGTGCAGTAAATATAAAGCATGAATGACAAGTGTCACATTTTTGCCAAAAATAAAAGCTAAAAATTTAAAGTTCACTTCTTAATTGCTATAATTATCAACGTACAACGCAGATATAATTTTTGCAGAATATCACTTATCTCGCTTTCTGTTTTTTTGTCTTTCTTAAACGACATTACAATTCAGCTCCAAATTAGAATCCTATTAAAAAAGTTCATCTAAAATTAGATTCTGCAATTTATCTTTTCAAAACTCACGAAAAAAAAAAATCTTTTTTAATCGCACGTAACTCGACAATTATTGATATCAGTACTATTTTTCTCGACAGACACTCGCCGGAGAATATATTATCAAAATTACAGTTACAACATCGGCTTTGTGTTTAAAATTACTTTGAATAAAATCGTTAAAAAAAGAAGCCCCTCACCTGTCGCATTCCGTCTTGCGACGCGCGGAACTCAGGAAGAAGGAAGTGAAGCACTAACGTCTCCGGGGCTTGTTTCCCGGCACCTGACTCCTTCCGCTCTCACTGTACCTACTGCGGCAACGTTCCCTTCCTCGCACCGCGAGTCTTCCCACCCTCGCGATGATTTTTTTCTTCCGATGTGCGAGTCGACGTCGATTCACCGCGATTATTTATCCGGCGGGAGTTGCGACAGTCTGCACGACTTGCATCACGCGCGTGCACTACACGATGCACGCACGCGGCCACGTATCCACCCGCACGCACGCACGTTCTATCTCTCTTTTAAATTTTATTTTTATCTTTCTTATTATTTTATATTATTTTTCTTTCTTGTATTCTATGTATATCTTTTGTGCGCTTTCTGTTTTGTTTTTAGAAGGCTTGCCCTAAAATTATATATAGGATTACACACCTTATCTATCTATTTAATTTATCTATTTCTTTCTCCTCTCTCTCTCTCTCTCTCTCTCTCTCTCTCTCTCTCAAGAGAGAGAGAGAGAGAGATTTTTTCCGGAAGAAAGCACACTGACACTAATTATTGTCTATGGCAGTTCTCGAAAGAATCATAAATCGGTAAAATTCCGTGTCTTTTAAATCACTCCGACGAACAGTATCACGTGCTTATGACAGCACTACAGTCAATGTACAATGCAACGATTGTAAACAACCTGTCGACAATAAACTAACTACAATTCACTTCGATCGATTGGATTAGCGATCTATTTTAAATTAAACGGTATGCGTCTCTTCTAAAATGTACAATAAATCTAAACAAATTTGTTATTCTCTTTCATCAACTTTCTTCGTCTCGATGTGTTAATTTAATCCTATACGAGTTTCACGTATATCTCTGGAACTCGATTGTCAAAGCTATAATATACTTTTATCCCGTACCATGATCGCCATGGAAAATGCTATTTGATCTTGACACGTGTCCCCGGTCAAACTTGGAGATGTTCGCCGACAGAGTTCCTCTTTCTCTTCCTACTTCGTTCACTCCTTACACCACTCTCGCGGAGCGCGTAAATAAGCGAGATCACTCCTCTTACTCTCTTATCTCTCTCTTTCGCATTTCTTTCTTCCGATTTTTTTCGACGATGCAAAAGAACACGCACGATTCTAGCACCGCGTGTCACGAGGCGCGCATCACAGCGAGAGAAAGAGAGAGAGAGAGAGAGAGAGAGAGAGAGAGAGAGAGAGAGAGAGAGAGAGAGAGAGGCAGAGACCTCGCTCCAGGGAACGCGCGCGTGGAACACTAAGCGCGACGCGCGAACGGCGAATCTTGGTTTGCCTTGCCTAGCCTTGCCTTGCCTTGCCTAGCTGCCACTAAACTCCGCTATCCTAGGTTAGACATGCTCGCAACACTCTCCCTCTCTCTTTCTCTCACCCGCTCCCTCCCGCAGCAACATCGCGTTCTCTCTCGTTTGCGCCTCGCCGTCTCCGTCGTCACCGCCGCGAATCCGCTCGGGTCCTCTCGCTCCTACCACGTCTCGCGTGATGAATACACTGCGCTGCGCGCGCGATTCTGATACGACAGAGGGGCGGGAGAGAATGAAGAGGCGAGGAGGAAGGAGAGAATCGTAAGGCCATAGCCACGGCCATCGAGTGGCATATACTATATACATACGCACGCACGTACGCACGCGCCAGCACAACCTGTGTGGGTGTGTGGCCATTCGATTCCGCGCATCGAAAATCATATATATCGATTTGCGTTTCTCTTGCCATCTAATTATCTACTTACTTAACGCCTTCATTATTCCAATGAAATGCGTACTCACTCACGACTACCTCGCTATCAAGGCTGCGGCCAAATGTTCTTAGCTGCTATTCCAATCTTAGTAATATAATACATAATTAACTCATAGTTCTACATACCGGAAAGTATATCAAAGTATAAATATAGCTCCGAAAACGACTAATATTTGATACTAAATATATTTTTTTAATATATAAAATTGAATATAATTAAATAATTATTACAAATATTATAGCATATATGTATACACATAAAGATATTTTTTTACTGCTAAGAAAAATGATTACTTGTCAGTTTATTTTTTTTCTTTAAAGTAATAGTTATCTTTAAGAATATTCTTTTCAATCTTAAAAAATATACTTACAATTAGTATTAGTATAAATTTTGAAAAATTTATTAACATGTACCTACTTAAAACAAGAATTTATTTTCTTCTGAAATATACTAGTATTATTCAGGTATTATTAACGAAGTAACTATATAAGTACGTAGCAATAGATAATAAGCAATCAAATTTGTTTTAATTTAATAATCTCGACTGAATTAAGTGTTAAATTTATACTTGTAATGTATGAACTTATGATAGATTTGAATTAAAATATATGAACTTTTGAAATACCTAAAACAAGTAATATATTTGAATACAATATGTATTTTTCTTGTAAGCAGTAATAACTATAAAAATAGAACTCCCAATTATAATTATTTTTTATGCAATTATAGTAAATAACAACTAGTTAATTACTCCATATTGATATGTTTGCATATATTTCGATGTTGAAAATCATAAATATGTAACGAGCAGGACAATCATTCGCCAAAGAAAAAAATTGCCCCAAAAATCGAATTGATAAAGCAAATTAGGATTATTTTATAATATGCAAAGTTCCGGAATACGAAGTGTAATCATTCAGCTTTATTGCGATAATTTCATAATTAAGTCACAATAATCTTGCATTAGTCACGTTTTTACGTGACACTGATATTATTTTGGTCGGAACTGACAGGAGCAGCTTCTAACGACGCGTTCCAATCCAAAAATTGTGCCAGAAAAACACAAAGCACGTGTGTATGCCGCGTGCCGCGTGTCCAACCGAACACGGAGGTGCTTCGCGCCATTTTTTATATATATATATATATA